GAGTGTGCATGTGCATGTGTGAGCTTGTCCATCTGTGTGAATGCGCATGTTCGAGCGTGTTCAGGCAATGAATGGGAGAGGACGTGTGCATGTGCACATGTGAGCGTGTGCGTGCGCACGTGTACGTGCATCCGCACGAATCATGGCGAAGTACGTCGACATACACGATCTTTAAGCCGAAGGCGTCGAAGTACCTGAGATACCTATACAACACTGGCGTATCAGGAGATGCCCCTAGGTTCTGCATATGGCCCTATCCCGGCCATGCCCAACTTTGCCATATGGACCTGGGCTTGGACTGTAGGCTCACTTCTTTCGCCATCTGCCCCTCTACGGGGCAGGCCGCAGGCACCTTCTCTGCTTGCCCCATAACCCATGTCGTGCACCATCCAGTTCGTGCTTTCAGAAACAACCCTACTCCCCGTACGACTCCTCCCTTTCCTCCTCTTCCTTTCTTTTGTTTTCTTTTTTTTTCCCCTTACGCAGGGGCCATAATAGACTTCTCTGTATCGTTTCGGTGCTAGACTTCTCTGTATCGTTTCGGATGTCCCGAACGACTCTTCATTTCTTTTTGTTTCTTTCTTCTTCTTCTTCTTTTTTTTTTTGTTCCGGAAGAAACTTCGAGGCAGGGGGTTCCGCTTGAGGATGTGACAGGAGCATCCTCCTAAACAGGGTCCGTGTTTGAGACTCCATCTATTGGTGACGAGCTGCACCTGCTGGTGAGCTGCACCCGCTTGAGGTGTCCAGCATCCTATATTATAAAAAAAACAATATTTCACTTACGACCCCTCCGTGGCCCACAAACAATATTTTAATATCGTGTGGTCCAACTGACCACGGATCAGATATTGCACTGATCAGGGTGTGGCGAGGCCCTTACTGTCCACTGTACATGTGCAAAATGGCTTGGACAGTTTTTAGAAAACCCGTCGAAAATCTACTGTCCGTGAATGTACAGCTCCCAGCCTGCAAAATTCGTTACGCGAAAAGTCCTTCAAGGGACTCACCGTGAGGACCCGAATTTGGAGAGTGCACCTGGAGTTTGGGCGGACAAAACCCTATGGACGTCCTGTCTTGTAGTGCTATCACTGTGTCTGGTAGTGAAGCCACGAATTTGAGAGGTGGACAGCGGACAGTAAGTGGAGCGATGTCGCATTTTCCACTGTCCGCTGTACAATTTTTCGCTCTGACAACTGTCCACCAACTGTCCGAAAAATTGTACAGTTGACAGTAGTGGAGCGAGACCCTATGTTTCTGGAATCTGACAATCTGAAACTGTGATCTGCTCGAGCTGTGTTTCCTCAGAGGATTGTGTTTCTGTTTTTTTTTTCTTGTTTTGTGTTTCCGGAATCTGCCAACCTGACCACGGGGCTGAAATGCCCTCACTGAGGGCACATCCACACTACCACTTCCAAGAATTTATTCAATTGCAATCACAGCCAGAGCTTTGTTTCCTTTTCCTTGTTTCCTTGTTTTGTGAGTTTCAAGGCCGCAATTTTTTTTTTTTTTTTTTTTTTTTTTCTCGTGAGAGTACCATAAAGAAAATGGAGTGGGACCCAGGCTCGACAAAAATAGGAGCGCAGTGAAATTCAGGGTTGGCAGTGTTGCGTGGATGACGCGATAATCGGGGCAGTGGCGGTACTAAGTGCGATATGCGTTGATCACTGACTGATCAAGAGTGGTGATGGAGATGGCAGCAAGATAGATGGGTTCCTGATTGTGATCAGAACAGCGGGACAAGGCATCGGTCACCCTTGATGGGCTGAGTGGTCAAACTAAACTCAGATAAATCACGCCACCAGCGTGCCTGTCGAGGGGAAAGCTTGGGCTTTGTGAGGAAAGCCTAGACAACTGAGTTGTCCGTGCGCACCGTGAAAGGCGCCCCGTGCAGGTAATGATGCAAATGTCGCGTAGCATAAACTACTACGAGAACCTCACGTTCATCGGYAGTGTAGTTTATCTCGGCAGACAGTAATTGACGGGAGTAGAAAGCGATCGGGCAATCCCCAGCWCGAGCCTCGACAGTCCCATCCTCCGTGATGGTCGGGGAATAGGTGACGGAAGGACTGTAAGTGGAGGGAAGTGGTGGGAGGATAGGCATCAGTCGAGAAACAATGTCAGCATGAAGGGGGGCGGAAAGAGGAATATGGGGATAAGGTGAATCGGGGGAAGAGGGAAACACCTGAGAAAGTACAACTCCTACTGTAAAATATGACATATCAGTGGTGACGATCAAGGGACAATCAAAATCGGGCCGGCGAAACACCGGCGCACAAGTCACTGTCTTCTTGAGGGCGAGAAAGGCGTCCTCGCAGAGGGGGAGGGTGTAGGTAAGGACGTAGGCATAAAAGTCATGCTTGCGTAAGCGATGTAGGACATCGCGAAGGTGTCTGAGATGGTCTTCTAACGTATGTTTGTAGACCAGGATGTTGTCCAGGTATACGAGTGCGTATTCTTCCAAGATGTCCTTGAAAATATCATTCATCGTCGTCTCGAAGGTAGCGGATGCATTGGTGAGGCCGAATGGTATCACCGTGAACTCGTCGTGGCCGAAGCGCGACTGGAAGGCGGTCTTCGGCTGATCCTCTGTGGCTACGCAGATCTGGTGGTAACCGCTACGAAAATTGATCTTCGTGAAGAAGCGGTTGCTTGTCAGACGGTCAAACAGCTCATTCGCGTGAGGCATGTGTAACGGTTAAGGCCACGGTAGTCAATGTAGAGGCGAAAAATTTTGTCCGCTCTACGAGCAAAGAGGACGGGTGCATCCCAATGGGGGTTACTGAGTTTAATGAAACCCAGTCGAAGGAGCTCCTCAAGTTGAC